CGTCATGCTCAGCCACAGAGAACTGTTTTGAGCCCCTGAAACACAGCCATGGACAGACTGGTGGTCTGTGTCTGTGGAATGCACGTTAGTTCCACGGAGGGTCGGCATACTCGTCTATTTTGTGAGTCTGAAACTACAAGACAGAACTTAAAAAGAGGCGAAGTTAAAACCCGAATTTACAAGCATCCTAGGTGAACTCTGACGTGATTAACACGACAAAGCCCAGCTTCCCACTCCCCAATGAAGGTCCTGAGAGGCCCTGGTCCAACCCGCCTTCACATGTGCACGCATGCGCACGCACACACACAGACACACACGCACACGAAAACTCATGCTAGCCATTTGCTCATTTCACTAGTTAGGTTTAACAACCTAACTTGATAATGCCCACTGCCATACCCGCATCAGGGGAGAAAGCCAACTAAGGTCTCCTGTCTGTCCCAATGCTCCTACAACTGTTCCCACGTGATCAAGAGCCCACCTGTAACTAATACCACGTACCCTAAGCAACTCTAATATGAACTTGGTCCAAGAAACAATACCACAAATCACTCTTGCGGTGGTGGTGGTTGTTGTTACGTGCCATCGAGTTGGACCCGACTCCTAGCGACCCCTCCTTGGGTTTCTGAGGCAGTATCACTACAGAACTAGATTGCCCCATCTTTCTTCCAAGGAGTGGCTGGTGGGTTTGAACGGCCAGCCTTCTGGTTAGCAGTCAAGTGCCTTAGCCACTATGCTTGCAGTACTGACTCCGATTTCTCCTGCCTATGAACACAGTTCAGGAGCCCGCGTGTACAGTGCCCTAAACAGAGAGACAGTGTGCTGGTCTCGTCCCTAGGATGGCGGTAAGCCCAGTCAGAAAACCTCTGTAAAGATCCTCTCGGCTCCGGCAGCCCCTAGCCCGGCCCCAAGGCCTCCTGGGCACGCGCACGCCTGGGTAGGAGCTGGAGGCGGGGACAAGCTGCTCAGGCACTGGTCACGTCCTGCACGCGCGCCTGATGGATGGCCCTCTCCTCCCCAGTCCGTGTGCGCACGGTGGGGGGAGGGGGTCTTCTCTGCCAAGGACTCGGCAGAAAGATCTGAAGCACCGCACAGGACAGAGAGGACCCGTGAGAAGCTGTTAGCAGC